CCCCAAAACCCCAAAACCCCAAAACCCCAAAACCCCTCTAAGTTAATAATTATAGAAATATTTAACGATATGGACAACAAATTGACCCTTCCGAGTAATATTCTGGAAATAAACAATGGAAATAACAGTAAGCCTTCTCAGTATTCGATTTTGTATGACCTCTACCTCTGTGGGAATTATGCTGATTACCAGATATAGAAGAAGAGAGCAAGTCTTTTTATGGCAAAGAAACGAAATGATATTCAAAGAAAATGAACAAAGCAACTAAGAATAACTGATTTAAAATATCAAAACCTAAATTAGAAGTTGTGAATAACTATGAGGATAAATAAAATTGCCAAGAGTCCTACTCAAATGTACAATATTGCTAATACTTTATAGAATTAGTCAAGATGCATACTTTAGCATCACTTCGTGAGATTTCTCCACACATAAGAAGAGTAATGATCAATCAATTCTGAATCTGAAGTTGAAGGAGTCGCCCAATTACCAGTCGATTATGGATTTATGGAGAGACCAACAAACCTATACAACTAGTAATAAGAATATCTCATATATAGTCCTTTCTCAACCAAATCAACATTTTACTAGTAGTTATTTTACAAGGCAATGTGATGATCAAGAAATGGAGAATACTGATGAAGGAATTAGAGCTGATGAGAGAACAATCCCGCAAATTAGAATGATAAATCTAGTTCAAGCAGTCAGGTCCAATAAAATTTCAGAGGAATTAAATCTTCTACTCCAGTCAAGCAAGAGATTTAAGATAACTGAAGTTAACTCACAGTTAAAGAAAGGCAAGCAAATAGATTTAAGTCCTATCGCTAAGGAAGAACATGTATCAAACAATTTTATATTATAGAAAGAGAAAACCCCAGATCACTGAGATTCTAGTCAAGAATTGTATGCAACATCCCATTTTCCTACCAAGTTTCAAAACAAAACACTTGTTCAAGAAAGTGAGTTGGATCATACACATCTGGATCTAGACAATAGCGCAATATTTAAGGAAGAAACACAAATAATTATCAAAAAGAACTGCAAGGATAATTCAAAAACGAATATACCAGCCTCTAGTGGTATCATAAAGAACACAATTCCTGTCTTCAAGGCAAAACTGATGAACAAAAACCCTATTAACAAGCCAACTCCTATAATTGAGATAAAAATAACTGGTCCTGATGAAGACTCTCAGGAAGAGAACAAGGATGAAACCCTAACAATTGATGATTTAGTCTCTAAAGCTAACTTCCGCTCATCAACCCAGATCTTGAAGAAAGACTATATTGACAATAAGCTTGAAAAAGATACTATAGAAGGAGAAATGGTTTATTCAGAAGATGAGAGTTACCTCCTTCCTCAGAGGCAAAGTACTAATTTATTGACTGAAGATTATGAGAATGAGATTCATAAACTCCATATGCTCCAAAGTTTGCAAGCTTTACAGTATTTAAAGACTATTAAGCCTCCTCCTATATCTGAGCTGAAGGATAAACTGGTATTTTTACCTGAAAAGAAAAGTAAAAAGAAAACTTTAATATTTGACATGGATGAGACACTCATCCATTGAGTGGATTCAATTCAGGATGAAAACCCCCAGTATGTCATCAAGGTAATCCTAGAAGAGGAAGAAGTCCAAGCAGGAATCAATATTAGACCATATGCTCTTGAATGTTTAGAAGCTGTAAACCAGAAATTTGAAGTGATCGTATTTACAGCTTCTCATCAAACCTATGCAGATGCAGTTCTAGACTTCTTAGACCCACAAAAAGAGTTAATTAAATAAGAGGCTTTATAGGGATAGCTGCTATGAGACAGAGGAAGGAGTATATATCAAAGACCTTAGAATATTTGCTAACAGAAATCTCAAGGATCTAATAATCGTTGATAATGCTGTTTATTCATTCGGATTTCAACTAAACAATGGAATCCCTATAATACCTTTTTATGACGATCAAAATGATGAAGAGCTCTTCCATCTTGTCCCTTTTCTGGAAATATTAGCAGATTCAAAAGACATTAGAGAGAAGAATATTGAAGCCTTTCAACTTGAACAAATGGCTTCTAAAAACGAACTCTGAGATTTTAACAGAATTTGAGAGATATCTGAGACCTTTGCAGGTGAAAGATTTGAAGATGATCTAAACGAGTCTCAGACAGATGGATACCTCAATATCGATTAAATATAATAACTTTCTATTTATTGTGCCATAAAGGGGTTTTGGGGTTTTGGGGTTTTGGGGTTTTGGGG